TTTGGGGTTCATATTTAGAATCCTACTAGGGAACCCCACACAGGAACTACTATGGGGCCTATGGGTAAAGCCCTCGAAGCCAGCAAATTTTCAACTAGGGTTTATAGGGTTTAGGGCTTCGGGTTTACGGCTTGGGGCTCTGTTTTGGGGCCTGTGCGCTCTGCACCGTTACGATTTATGGTTTGGGGTTTCGGCTCCTTGGATTTGGGGCTAAGGGTTCTGCCCGCAGCTGCCTCGAGTGCATTGAGTCTAGGACATTTTCAGGTGGGTAGTTACCGTTATAGGAGCCTTATAGAAGGTCTATATACCTTATGGAAGCCTTGTAGAAGCCCTATAGACCCGAAACTCTCCACCTGTAGTTTCCTTTACTTGAGTCAGGTGTCTCAAAGCGAGCCCGCAGCCCTCTGCTTGAATCCCGGCCCCTAGACTAAAGCAACCCTAAACCCTAAACCCTAAACCCTAAACCCTAACCTTCTACAAACTTTAAGCCGCCCGACAATCCTAACCACTAAGCCCCGGACTCCCCCCAGCCCTTCAAATCAAAATTCCTACGATCGTACCACTCTCGACTGAAACACAATCAATCCTACAAAACCGCATTGACATTAAATTCCTCAAAATAGGGAGACCAGATTCGTCGACACGGGTCAGGAAGCAAATGCATCAGTTGCGGGCGTTGACGCCGTCGGAGAGGGATGAGCTTTCAGCTTCAGTCGCTCTGGCACAAGCCCAACGAGCACTACTACACCGCGTGTTGAGCTCTCTCTGAGGTGGTGCATGACATCCTGCGGAACCCTTCAGAAACTCCAAAACATACCAGCAGATCCGAGAAAACCTTGTTCAACAGCCGTATTTGAGCTGTCTGCGACCCCAAACCCTGAACCCTAATCTGTAAGCCCCAGTTCTTAGACCCTTCTTAATACTTATCCGTGATCCCAGACCCTCATCCCTAATTCCTATAAACCCTAAATTAAACCCCACACCCTAAGCCCTGAACCCTAAGCCTTGAACCCTAAACCAAAGGTGGTCCAAGCCAATGCCGAGAAGCGTCAGTCGGAGGTTGACAAGGCTATTTTGAGGGTTTGTCCCATCCCGTGGTGTTTACACGTTAAATGGGGCTTTGCGTTGGTTTTACAGGGTTTTAGGGCGTTTTTCTTTTTTTTTGGGGGGGGGCGGTTTGTAGGGCTTTACCGGGTTATCGGCGCTGTCTATTGCCTTCAAGACGTTTTGTAAGGTAAAACAGCGGCTCTATCCGGTTTAGGTGGTGGTGCAGGGTTTAACAAGATCTTACAGGCCTTTATATGAGTGTTATATGGGTTATTGCAGCTTTGGAAGAGGTGTTTGTAGGGTTTGATTGAGGCCCCTACTGCTTGGAATAGGGTGTGGGTTCGGGGGTGCTTTGTGCAGTACGACCGAGGCGTGTTAAGGGGCGTGGGGGCCTTCAACTCTGCGGCAGAACACATCTGCTGTCGTTCTTTTGAGAAGGATGCACGGTTTAATGGTAACTTTAGGGTTCAGACAATTGGGGCCTTAGTCAGGGCGTGGGCTCGGTTCAGGCTGGATTTGTTCGATGCTTCCCAGATGTTCACCAACCATTTTTTTTTTTATAGATGTTCTGGGTGTCGTAGCAAGTGCCGGGTAGCCCGGGAGGGGTGCAGAAAGGATGAGGGATGACGCAGATCTTCCAAAATCCCTCATTTAAGGAGTATACCTTACATCATGTTGGGGGTCCTACTGTCATGTAAGGCATCTTCCTCTAAGAGATGTTCGAAGATCTGTGGATTTCGGCTGACCAGCGTATGTGGCTCATCGCTCGCGCACCTTGCACTTGTTGTACCATAGACCCGAAATCCGAAGTCCTTCAAACCCGCAACCTGCAGGCTGTAACACTGCATCAGGCGTGCAACCCTCCGGGTAGGCATTGGGGGGAATGTTGGCTTCTTGGTTCGAGCGTATGCCGCGAGCCGCAGGCAAGACGCCTGATCACCGATGAGGTGCAGAAGTTCAAATGCTGGCAGGTGCGAGGGGTGGTGGCTTAAATCACACAGCTATATCCTGGTTTTTGCTTTGTCATCCTCGTCGTCGCCATCGTCAGTGTCATCATCACATTTATTATGTATGGTCGCCGTGACATAGGGTAGCACGAACCTCGTTACTCGCATGGTGAGGCATTATCGCGAAAGCGCAATGTCTTGTTGTCCCTCCTTCCCATCTTTGAACCATCGTCATCGTAATCATCTTTAGCATCATCATTACAATTGTCGTTGTCATCGTCATCGCAGCTGAGTCAGGTGCGTATTTTCAGATTGAATCTACTTCTTCCCTACCATCATCTGCTGCGTCGCCATCATCACTCTCTTCGCTTATAAGCCTAAACCTCAATTTTACCTTCAGCTTTGTGGCCGTCGACTTCTGCTGCATCACGTCACTACTGTCACCACCATCCTTGGCCTCCTCGCTAGGACTATCCCCAACAACATGACCCTCATCGTGGGTCATGAGTCATCCGCATGAAATCAACATCCACAGTGAGCGTATCATAATCATCATCTTCTTCTTCACCACCAACATCATTATCAGTAGCATCGTCATCCCCAACATCACGGCCATCATCATCGTCATCCCTTCTCGCATCCCTTTCCTCATCCTGCTCCTCTCTCCCTTGTCGTCGTCATTACATCATCAGCATGAGTCACAGTAGAAACACAGCGATGGGTCCAAACCAACACCTCTGCTGCATGGCTGTATGCTGTTGCCCTTGGCGATGCTATATTTACGAAGTTCATGTATTGAGAAATGGACTTGTCGGACGTTTAGGGCTCCAGCTTTACAAGGCCAGAGGCATGTCATCCTCGGCGTTCAAGGACATTTGGGTAGTTTTCTAAATTAGGGTCCCTTTTTCGGTCCCCAATATAGTACGGCACCCTTATAAAAGCACCCCCCAAAAAACCCTAATTGAGAGAACTACCTATTTGTTGGTTCAGTTCCAGCATCCTGTGGCTTATAGGGTTCGGCGATCTCACTTTTTTTTGCTTCTGAGACATCCCAGATGCAGTGCGCTTCAAGCGCGCGCAGACTTCTGCAGCCCCGCGTCCTGAAGCCCTAAACCCTAAGCCCTAAACCTTAAACCCTAAACCTCTTCTGTGAGGCCTCGCAAGGTGCCGTGCCTTACCTCGCAGCACTGCAGGCCATGAGGGTCTAGGGTTTAGGGCTCAGGGTGGAGTGACATGCCGGAGAAGCTTGTCTTTAGGCGGTGAAGAGGTGGAAAGTAGGATTCTTGTGGTAGGAACGTATCTAGTACGAAATCACATTTCTGTCTAAAGCGGTGTGAATGCAGCGAATTTTGCTGTGTTTGCATTGCCCACCGGCAGGGATGAGGTTAGGGTATTGCACGGTCGGTTGGTTTGTCTAACCTGTCTGCAAACAAACCTCTTAATACCAAGCCCTAAAGCCTAAACCGAACCAGTCATTGCCATATCCCTAAACCCTAAACCCTAAACCCTATAGGCCTAAACCGAACCAGTCATTGCCATATCCCAAAACGGGAGGCTCCAAATAATCTTCGGCCCAAAGCCGCGAAGCCCCTCATGTTCTAAGCCTGAAGCGATCTTAAATTAGGGTTTAGGGTTTAGGGGTTTAGGGTTCAGGGTTTAGGGGTTCAGGGTTTAGGGTTTAAATACCTCGTAAAACCCCAACATCTTCTTGTCCTCAAGTCTTAACCTTAGCATCAAAATAGCCCCAAAAGCCTTATATAATATAGGGTCTTTGGGCCCAAAAGCCTTAAGATATGAGTCCTTTGAGGGTAAGGGTTTAACAAAAACCTTCATCAGCGCTATGCCCGAATCCTAGAACCCGAAGCACTGAACCCTGGCCCTAACAGTCTCATGCACCCAACTCCCCAAGGAGAGCCCGATATCCGCTAGATAAGGAGCATCCCTTGAATCACTAGGGCTGTTTGGTGTAGTTTGAAGCACAACCATAGGTTTACACATATATATATATATATATACACGCACGCATATATATATATATATACACATACACACATATATATATATAGAGAGAGAGAGGTAGACCTACATTCAAGTGTTTACTTACTTGTTCATCCATCTCCATGTCTTTATTGAGACATATTATGCCCTCGTGATCCAAGCTATGTCGAGGCAATGGCAGAGCAGATCCGGCGTGCCGAGTACGCCAAGATGGAGCACAAGCTCCGGGTGTGCTCCGAGGGGTTCGGGATTTAGGGTGTAGGGTTTAACCCCAAATAAACTTCCTTTTTTTAGGACTCATATAAAGAAACCATGATAAGGAACCCTAAAGATGTAGGTTCTTTAAGGTTTAGGGTTGAGGGGTTTGTGGGGTTGATGGGCTTTGGGATTTTTGGATTCAAAGGTTCAGGCATTCTTGTTTATGGAGATGTTCAGAGGGTTCTTCCGGGGGTCCTTTAAACGGTTCTATTCTACAAGGACATTATAAGCGGTTTAGGGGTATAGGACTTCGAGTTCGTGAGGGGCTCTGGGTTCGAAGTTCACGGCTCTTGTTCAGGGCTGAGCGTTGACGGGTTGCTCTCAAAAAGGTCAGGGTTTGGAGACATGAATTTTGAATGACGGTTTTGGGGGGGAGTCCTAACCCCTAAACCCTAAACCCCTAAACCCTAAAACCTTAAACCCTAAACCCTATAAACCCCAAACGTCGCGGCTTGCAGGTTGGGGCCTGCTGTAGCGTTTCATGAGGGTTAGGGCCCGGCTTTAATATGGCTCTCACGCCAGGGTGTCATGCAGTCACGAAGTGAGCCATTTTGAGGAATCCACTTGTGTGCTTTGTAGTTTAGTGCCTTCGGCTTAGTGAATCAGCGGATTGATCGTGCAGGACGGCTGATGGCCAGACTGTGCGCAACAGTCCGGTTGAGGGTTTTACAGCCATGAATCCAGAACCTGCATCTGAAACCCTATAAAAAGTTCTAAGACCTAAAACCCTGAAGCCTAGAACCCTGTAGAACCTCCTTCAGAGTAAGCCTTTATCACCCTAAACCCTGATACTATAGGGGCCTAAATAATTACCTAAACTATTTTGTGGCTTCCTTATTATAGTATAACATACCCCAGCACTCTGTTCTGATGATGAAGGCCCCTACATCATATAGCCCTAAACCCTGATACCCTGAGCATGGAAGCATATGGGTAGTTCTCTACATTCGGGTCCCTTTTTAGGTCCCCAAAATAGTACGGCACCCTTATGAAAAGGACCCAAAAAGGGACCCTAATTTAGAGAACTACCCAAATCCTAAACCCTAAACCCTAAACCCTAAAGCCTAAACCCTAATCCCTTAACCCTAAACCCTAAACCCTAAACCCTAAACCCTAAACCCTAAACCCTACCCATATCGTCTTCTGAGACCAGGGCCTTCAGGACAAGGAGAAGGAGGCGCTGGACAAGCTCACGAGGCAGAGCCAATCTTTAGGGTTTAGGGTTTAGGGTTTAGGGTTTAGGGTCCGTGTAGAAAGTTTAGGATAGCAGTTGTTGCAATAGTTTTTGGTACTTTCAGAACAGGCGAGTTTTGGAGAGTGGCTATTTAAGCTTTTCAGATGAGAAGGAGCTGGAAGAAACAGCTTTTTTTTTCTGGGCCTCCAATAGGAGCCTTAAGCCCTAAACCCATAAACACCTACACCCCTATCCCTCAGCCTTAACCCCTAAACTCCTAAGCCCTAAAACCCTAAGCCCTAAGCCCTAAACCCCTAAACTCTAAGCCCTAAGCCAATTTAGGCTGTACGGTTTCATCGCGAGGGTTCAGGGCGTTTGGGTGCCGGGGTTTAGAGTTTTTATGGGGGTCGGAGGTTCGTCTTCCAGGTTTAGTAATTAGGGTTTAGGGTTTAGGGCTTAAGGTTTCAAATTTCGAGTTTGGTCTTCTAGGTTCAGGGACTAGGGTTTCGGCTTGTCGGGGTAGGGTTTAGTCTCGCAAAGTCCAATTCTAACCCCCAACTACACACTACTTACCCTACACCCTAAACCCTAACGTAGTCTCCGCGATCTTTTTTGGGTACTGAAACCCCAAATTCACACCTAAGCACCGTAAAGAACTCTGTAAATCGGTTTAGTGCTTTGGGTGTCAGAGCAAGGCTTAAAGGGGTTACTAAGCCCCTTTGTAGTAGTCTCTATATACTTATGCACATTGCGGTCCCTGTATATTTATATAAGTTACAGTCCTTGCACACTTAAACTACCTATCATCCCTGTATACTTATACTACGATACAACCCAAAAAACGTACTTTCCAAGCCCACAGGCACATCGTGGACCAGCTGTTCCGGCCTGTGTACTACTCCATGAAGGAGCGACGACTCCAGCCCCCGGGTGGGGTTCACTAATCCAGCCTGAACATTGATTGTATCGGGTTTTTGTGTCAGGATTTAGGATGTCGGGTAGTCAGGTATCCCGACCACCCCCCAACCCTCGTCAATTTTCCCTAAGACTCCAAGTATACAATAGGACCTACTTTGGACTCTAAAGTCTATAAATGGTACCTACTTTGGGTTATTTGGAGCCTTAGGGTTTCCAGGGCTGCACTGTGTGTTCTCCCAAGAGAGCTTTCAACGAAAGCTCACAAAGCGCCAGACTTGTTGAGGGGCTCGCCGTGTTTCACTCAACGATAAACTCTCAAACCGCTCACCGTTAGCCCTAAACCCTAAACCCTAACCCTAACCCTAAACCCTAAACCCTAAAACCCTAAACCCTAAAACCCTAAACCCTAAACCCTAAACCCTGCATCCTGACGCAGACTGTGCTTCGCAATGCGGCCGCAGGGCTTGCCAGAACGCCGGAAGTCAGGATGGTGACAGAATGATGACCCTTAATCCCAAGACCTGTTGATAGATGCAGTGACACGATTATCGCAGCAATGAGGAGCTTTTCCTGACCTGACAAAGGTACGTAGTGCTGAGGTTTCTCGCTTGTAACTATAATCTTATCCTCAAGGTCGAACTTGCCAAGTTGCCAGCCTCTTTAGGCAACCCGCCCGACATCTGAATTCGGGGTCCCGACCCTTCAGCTTTAGGGCCAGAGCCTTCAACTCTCTACCCCGAAGCTGTCAATCCGACGCCCTGAGCCCTGAAACGTAGAACCCTACCTTCTGCGAGCAATGGAATCGGATCGCAGCCCCTCTCCGACGCACTTCGGAGGCTTGCTGCAGTCGGCTCAGAGGGGATTCGGATCTTAAGAAACTCCAAATTGCTTGGAGAAATCCTTTGCCGCTCCCCCCGGGTCCATTACCCTAGTTGCTAACTTAGTTAATGGGCTCGAATGCTATAGTAACACGACATGATGTGCAAGGAAGCTACTAAATGTCGACGTTGTGGCGACGTCGCTCTCAGGTTGTGTAGTGATGACTTGCCTTGCTTGACGGATCGAGTGGCTAACTAGGCTGTGCTATTGAGTTCATGACTTAAAGGCAAGGTTGGACTACTGCGCAGGCTGTCTGCGCCTCGCTCCAGAGACCTACAAGAACCTGCCCTATATCGTAATCCCTTTCATGAACCCCCACGCCTTCGGTCACAATGTCCCCGATCCTCAAGCTCCGAGAACCTCAAACCCTAAACCCCCCTAAACCCTAAACCCTAAACCCTAAACCCCTACACCGCAAAACCCTAAACCCTCACCCCTAAGCCCAACATGTCAAGCAAGTCAACGAAAAGACGAAGAAGCTGCGAAGTTTCAGAGAATCCGGGAGCCTAATAGAGGGGCCTTAATAATTAGAATAGGGTTTTGGGGCCATTTTTCCATAATTATAAGAAGGAACCCCCCAAAATAGTATTGGTAATCACTTAGGCTCCTACATTAATCCCAAAAGTCGACAAACGTTAAATTAAATCTTGAAAACCTTAAATCTTGAACACCTTAAACCACGTATCAATGCCTTAAACCCTCTACGTTAGTCATAAACCCGAAGTTAGAAGAACCCTTGTCCCCCTACCCCAGATCCTTTAAGGAAGCCTATTTAAAGGAACCGCGAAGAAGGAAACTCTAAATCAGAAGCCCAGAAATTTTAAAGCCTAAACCCTAAGCCCTTATAGTAACTACTATGTTGACCCTCGTAGGAACCTTTCAGGAACCACTTAAAGGAACCGCAAAGAAGGAAACCCCAAGCCCTTTAAAGGAACCCCCTAAACTTTAAATCCTAAACCCTAAACCCCAAAGAAGGAAACTTCAAGCCCTTTAAAGGAACCCCATCTGACCCTAAACCCTAAACCCTTTAAAGGAACCCCATCTGACCTCAGACTTCCTGAAGCGTTCCCGGGCGGCCTTCGACCACTCGCACGCGTTGCAAACCACGCCTCCGCCTCGCCACCTGGCATGGATCGAGGAGTTCTTATGGTTTCGGATCTACGGTTTAGGCTTTAGGGTTTAGTGTCTAGGGTTTAGGGTTTAGGGTATAGGATCTAGGAGATATCATGGTTTAGGATTTAGGGTTTAGGGTATAAGGGGTACAAGGGTTCTGCTCAAGGGTGCTATGAGGGTTCTAGGAAGCTGCACGATTCGGGCTTTAGGTTGTCTTAACTGATGTTACTTTCTCTAAAACTGGGTCCCAAAATAGTACGGCACCGTTGTAAAAGGGCGACGCCGCATTTTAAGCCCTAAACTCTATTGAACTCCACCTACTAGGGTTTTGGGGGCTATATTAAGGTTTTGAGGGCTTAATATAGGGGCCTTAATTGTTAGAATAGGTTTTTTTTTTTTTTTNNATATCAAGGAACCCCCAAAACCCTATTCTAATCATTAAGGCCCCTACATTAAAACTTAAAGGATCCGCTTCCGAAGAACTCCCAAACCCTGCCATGGGATTCAAGCGGAGGTTTCACCGAACTTGCCCTAAGGCTCCATGTGCCGATAGATAGTCAGATAGACAGCTATAGATAGATAGTATATACTTATAGGCCTCAAAGGGGTTCCTACAAAAAGACACTTTGGGGCTTCAGTATATGCAGTTATGGGCACATGGAGCTTTAGGGTTGAGCATCCTCTGTAGGTTCAAAGAAAAGCGGGCATGATGACTTCAGAATTTCTAAACCCTATACCCTAAATTCTAAACCCTAAACCCTAAACCCTATACCCTAAACTCTAAACCCTAAACCCTAACCCTAAACCCTAAACCCTAAACTCAAGACCCTGGCGACTCTAAACCCTACTGTCCCCAACCCCTACACCCTTAGACCATGACCGAAGAAGTCAAGGCCGTCGCTACCGTTTCAAGTCTGCTCCATTACAGAAGGCGCCTTGGCCGGGAGTGTAAGCTGACCTATAGGTCTTCTTCAGGATTTGGGGTCTGATAGTGCATCTGTATCTCAGGATCTTCTTGTATAATGCAAAATCAGAACCCTAAACCCTGAGCCCTGAACCCTAAAATTCAGAGTTTAGGGACGGTGAGAGAGGGCCAGGCGGACATGCATAGACTGCTTCGCAGGACGCACCATCACCACCATCCCAAGTGACGCTCCAGGTTGGGCAGCTGAGGGTAGTCCGGATTTAGGGGTTTATGGTTTAGGATTTTAGGGTTTTAGGGTGCAGGGTGCTGGCTGTGTTAGGTTCGGGTTTAGGGTCTAGGGCTTAGGGTTTAGAGTGAGTGTTCTGTAGCTAATCACAAGCTCCGAATTCATAGAACGTCGGTGACTTTAGCCTTCGGGTCACCGGTTGCCTGCGGATGTCGTTATACGGTTTCGGTTCAGGGGTTGAGGGTGGGGTTTAGGGTTTAAGGCTCGTCACAAGGGCCGTGACTCGCATGATGGGATTGGCCACACTCACTGTGCATCCCTATTTAGGGTTTTGGGTAGGATTGAGGCGTGAGTGTTGGGGTCAGGATGGAACGGGCTTGGTTTCTATGAGTCAACGGAATAGCTTTATATTCTAGGTGACCTAACACGTCGTGCCAAGGTCGACAGGGGTATCGCCAAACGAAACCCATCCATGGTGACGACGGTCTGGCCAAGAAAAGGCACACTTCTTTCTAGCAGCTGTAACAACACAAGCCTAGCTCGAACTCCCTGGTGGTGGTGTTTTCCCCGACTAGACCCTATAAGCCCTGAACCCCAAAACCCTAAACCCTAAACCCCAAAACCCTAAACCCTAAACCCCAAACCCCAAACCCTAAACCCTAAACCCTGCAAAGTCGTGTGTCTTGCTTGCAGGCAGGCTCTCCTGGAGCCGGAACCCAGCCCTTGCAGCCACAACCTGAGATGCGGCAGGCCTTTTTGGGAGGGGTCCCTAGCCCTAAGGGTCCATGTACCCAAATAGTATATACTTTGGCCCCAAAGTACCCTTTTAGGGACTAAATTAAGGCCAAAGCATATACTATTTGGGTACATGGACCCTTAGGGTAGGCGCTAGGAGCCCAGTTGCCTATGATGTAGTCGGTGACTGTCCCTTACCTTCTTTTCACCTTTCAGAGTACCCTTTAGCCCAGTGACTTACTAGATAGATAGCTGGGCTCTTAGGGGTTTTTAGACTTGGAACAGTCACCAGATTTGACTTGGTCGTGCACATGCACAAGCAACCCACACTGACACTCCTTTGCTGCTCTTTAGTGCACCACATAGCAGCATCAGGCGGACCTTTTGCCGATCGGTTCATTCTCAAGAGACCAAGATCGTGCTTGTCCCTGCAAAATACAGAAGCCCAACAAATTAGACATGCTATTCCGTAAATCCCCACAATCGAAATTGTAGCGTAAAATACTCCGAAATCTCATTCCAGTGATTTGGTCTCCCATTTTGTAAACCCTAAACCCTTAGTTCAATCCTACGCCTTACGCCTTAGCACCACATGGGTAGTTTTCTAAATTAGGGTCCCTTTTGGGGTCCTTTTTATAAGGGTGCCGTACTATATTGGGGACCTAAAAAGGGACCCTAATTTAGAGAACTACCCACATCCCCGAATGACTTGCCTGCCGGAAGGCCGGCTCTCCTAAGATTGAAACTCCGGCGGAGCAGCTGCAGCCGGAGGTGTGCGCGTCAGTCATTCTCTAGTTTTGCTTCGATTTAGGGTTCAGGGTTTAGGGATTAGGGATTACGGTTCAGGGTTTAGGGTTTTGGTTTGTTTGGAGTTCCAGTTCTACTGATGGCTAGCTTGTAGACTAGGATTCCTGAGGACACGATCATGTTTACATGCGCACACAAAACATGGCAACATGCCCAGGCATAAGAGAGACGGAGTCCCCAAGCAGAGCCGCCTCTGAAGTATGCCCAAATTCTTAAGCCGTTCTGATCTTTCGCTTTTATGTAGCCACAAAGCGACAGCAGATGCGTGTGTGGCAGCTCAATGTTTCGTCTGGATACAGTGACTCTGCCTTCTGGCCTGCATATACTATACTGGAGACCCC